AGTAGTGATAATATCACTTATACCAGTAGTCGTTGCTAGCACGTAAAATGATACGTTTAGCACATATATACGTACCTTAAGAACTTAAAAGCTTACAAATTTCTTAAAATTGCTACATAACTAAGAATTATGTTAGTTCTGTTATAAATAGAATTGTATTTATGGTGAATGTCTATATTTAGAGAGATTCTAGGGTTCATTGCTTGGTGGCTAAGTCACCATCTCCCTATAAATAGAGGGTTCTATTCCATTGTAATTCATCCCAAAATCAATAAGAATCCTCTCTCTCTCTCTCTCTCTCTTTTTCTCTGCAATATTGTTCTTCTTCTTTTATTGTTTCATAACACGTTATCAGCACGAGACTTCTAACCAATTGAGTAGAAGTTTTGGGATGGAGCATAATGGTTGTCAATTGTTCCATGAACTTCCTTCATGATTAAATTCTGGATTTAAGGTAAGTATTTTACTTTATTTTTCTCTTTTAGATTCTTTTATTCTATACTTTGATTTTAAATACAAGCAAAGACAACAAAGTTTGATTATAACTCTAATGGAGTTTGTAATAAATTATAACCACCTGAAGTGGTAAAAATTCTATGCCTCGCCATGATCAAATTCATGTATGATTGTGGGCAAAGAATTGAAAACCCGTCCCATTGAATTTGCTCCATTCTCATTCCCTTAAGAGAATGTGATAGCAGTATGTGATAAGTCTGAAAGAAGACAAAATTATTACCGTGAAGGTATCAATAGATGTGGACGTGGTATTAGACAAAATTATAATCGTCATCATTGTGATAATGAGAACAATAAGGATTCTCAAAATAATCCTTCACTCTCTGAAAGTAATATTTGTCATCGATTTGACATGAGATTTTATAAAGCACATATAGATGATTATGGTCCATTCATGATGTGAATGTGACAACATCTGATTTATGAATACATATTCATTCTTGGAAGAATATGAACATACTAGTGGTAGTGAATATACCGCACTCACCTCTAAAAGGAGGTTTGAGATGATATAAGAAAATAATGTCATTATTATGGCATGAATGGTCATTGGTCACGTACCTATTGTACGCCAAAATATTTTGGCAGTGTGATTATTAAAAGACAACGGTAGTGCAAGAAACGGATCTTGCATATAATTTTGACCATAACCATAATGGTATAAATTTCTCTTTAAAAGAGATATTCACCATATGAGTGTTGCTGAATATGTGGTACTACAAAATTAATTGAGAACTCTGCAAGAGCCACTTATACTGTTTTGGAGAAACACAATTAATTACCAATAAGGTATTGTGTTGTAGTAAGTCTCAAAGAAACTTATTCAGTTTCCAAAGTATACGCGAAAGCGATTGATTATATTGAGACTATAAATAAAGGAAAGATTTAATATCTTCTATTACTACAACTTGTAGCGGGGTAATATGTATGTGAAAAGCTACCCCCTTTATTCTTCGTTTTGTACTACACAAACAAAAGAATGCCACAATAAAGAGAAGTTTATTGATATAAAAACTCATATCATAATAAACTTGGAGTTTATTGATAATTGCACACGTCATGGTGTAAATCTGAAGTTTATCAATATTGATAATTTATTCAGTTGGCATAATTGGTTTACCCATATCAATTTAAGTATGATGTGCAAAAATAAAAGAGAATTCACATGAGTAAATATTAAAGAACTAGAAGGTTCTTTACGCATTCTCTTATGTTGGCTGTTCTCATTAATTAATATACCAACTAAAATTGGGATTAAATCCCATGAATGCTGGAAATATCAAAGGTGAATATGGGCCCATTCACCTGCCATGTATACCACATAAGATGCATCTATGAGATGGTTACATGTGCAATTATTATTAACCCGCAACATGGTGTTTTGCGAGGTAACTTGGTCAATAATTTAATTTCGAGCATAATTTCCAGATTTTTTATTCAAGAAGTTCATCTTGATAAGTTGGTTTACATCACAGTTCGTTTAGCAAAATGATTTATTAAGTGCCTCTACTTAATAGCTAAACAATTGCTTATGAGAACAAAGTAATATATATCAGTTTGATATACGTTATATACGAAAGTATATTCTTTTCTCCCCTCACAAGTGGTTCAGGGTCAGGAACCAAATAACTCCATCTTATTATTATTGATGTGCGGTGTATATTTTGATTAACACCATAACGCACAAAGGTGGATTCTCAAAGTTGAGGTAACAAGTTAGTTTTCTAACATGAGGGGGAGACATGATAAAAGTTGAGAAAAAGTTACGTAGAATGAATTATCATTTGTACATCTAGATCCTCGAATAAAGTAATATGAACTTGAAGTTCATAAAAGGATAATTCATCTGCAATATATTGCAAAGCATGCAAGACGCATTTGCTGACCCAAAGAAAGTAACTATATTCTCATTGCAAATGCTCCTATTAGAATAGGTCCTAGAAGGACAAAGTCTATGGTACGCTTAAAGCGTATAGACAAATCGGTTTCAAATAAACTTCTTGATAAAGAAGATGAGCAAATGATCAAAATGATCATAATAAAGGAGGCAAGTGATCTAGAAGATCACATGACATAACACTTCATAAAATCTCAAGAGAGATTCAGGTACCTGAAAATATGAATGAAAAGATCTCCATGTCATGTCTTTATGAAAATAAAGCTGGAACGGATATAAAATGTTCGTCGACGAAATCTATAATAGCGCTAAATATTTATGAGGATCTTAAGTCTGGAGAAACAATTCAAGTAGAATTTGGTTTCATATGAAAGACATGTAGTTTTGAACATGTAGTTCAAACACTTGAAAGTATAAAGTTAATGGTATGTGCAATCAGTTTTCGATATCTTATTTGTCTAGCATGACATGAAACCTTGATATGCATCTAATTAAAATCTATTATATGGCTTATATGACTTAACAATCCCTGAAGGATTTAAATTGCTTAAAGCATATAGAATTCATGGTCATGAAGTACTACATCCTCAGTGCAATTTGTGCACAAATGTATCTTGCTATAACTATATGCATGATAATATGATAGCAAGAGTTTTCACCTCTATGTGAAGATATTGAACTGACGATTCCAACAAGATCATATGAAGATAATTCATCTCTATCAAGAATGATGATTTCAAGGTGCAATATATTCATTCAAGTTAATATGGCTGATTTGTTCATCAAATCTCTACCAAAGATCTTTTGAAGATGGTGCACAAGATTGGAATGCAAATGCTCAAGGATGTGAATTGATGCTCTCATCAGGGGGAGTTAATACGCGTTGTACTCTTTTTCCCTTACAAGGTTTTGTCCCACCGGGTTTTTCTTGCAAGGTTTTTAACGAGGCAACCAAAAGGCGTATTGTTAGATATGTGTACTCTTTTTCCTTCTCTAGAATTTTTTTTCCACTGGGTTTTATTTTAGTTAAGATTTTAACGAGGCACATTATCTATTGAATAGACATTCAAGGGGGAGTGTTATAAATAGAATTGTATTTATGGTGAATGTCTATATTTAGAGAGATTCTAGGGTTTATTACTTGGTGGCTAAGTCACCCTCTCCCTAAGTCACGCTTAAAAATATGGAAGGTGATTTTTGCATGTGATTCTTTGAGAGAAAGAACCTTATTATTTGATTTTTCAATTTTTGTTGGCTAGTTTTGGTAAGTCCATGACTAATGGCTAGAGGTTGGTAAGTTGAGATTTATTTGGGACATTTGTGTAAGTTTCCCTTTAAAATTTACCAAGACCCAATATTTACAATAACTAATGAATGAAAGATATGTCTTTCATACATATATTATGGTTAAGTGAGATATATTCTCACTTTAATTTGTACCGCGAATATTAAATTATTTAATTTAATATACAATGGATAAAAATAATTTTTTATTCTTATTCTATTAAGTATTAGTAGTATTTTAAAAAAGAAGCAGTAGTAGTCCTTGTTGAGTGTATTTACACCACAAAAGTGCAATATTCTAATCTTATCAACAGCTTTCCTAAATTCAGTCTTTTTCTAATTTTATTCGTAGGTCTATCTCTAGGGTTGTTTGGTTTGGATCGGTTTTTCCCTAAAAAGAAACCAAACCAAGTAAGTCGGTTTTTCAAATATTAGAACCAAATCAAATCAATTAAGTCGATTTTTTTCTCGATTCGGTTTATGTCGGGTTTTGTCGTTTTTTCGGTTTTTTGTCGGTTTTTCCTTAAATATAAGACATACACTACCAAACACATATTCCGACGACCATATTTTCAACGTAACACTATCAAATCAATTGCCCTTTGAGAAATCTATTATTTACCAAGATATATTGATGACAATTGAATCAAATAGTGATGAATCATTTAAGAACTCAATTAAAAATATATTATTTTTAACACGAAATGGATTCTTACACTTAACAAAAGAAAACTACCAATCAAACTAGAATGTAAAGGTAAAGAACTATACTAAAAGTGCAAACTATTAACATTTACCATAAAACTTTTGAAACTTTGTATAAAATATACATATATATAGGTGTAATAATAAATTTAAAATAGCTACTCCTATAGTCGGTTTGGTTCGGTCTTTTTTTGATTAAAACCAAAATCAAACCAAATTTGATCGGTTTTTAGAATTCAAAATCAAGACCAAACCAAACCGAAAAATATCAATTTTTTTGGTCGATTAGTTTTGATTTTCGGTTTGATTCGATTTTTCGGATTTTTATGAACAACCCTATCTATCTCCATTGAGAAAAACATAGTAGCAATAAGTAGAAAAAGAGAAAAGGAAAAAAATGTTAGTACTGATGACTTGTAACTGAGAACCTCTTCCATTTCATGTGGCTCAAAATTTCCACGTCTTCACAAAAAAAAAAAAAAAAGAAAAGAAAAATGAAACACCACTTTTCAAATTCACTGACCTTTGGTCTCAGCTTACAGTCACCTTTCACAAAAATATACTCCAAAACTATCACTGACATCAACATCACCATCGACTCTGTAATAAGAAAGAAAAAAAGAAGAGTGTGGCTCCGAAACTCTCTTCTTTTTATCTCCCAATCCTTCCCTCTCTCCACACATTCTCTCCCATTTCCACACCTTCTCTTTCTCTCTCTAAACCCTTCACACAAACACTGCTTAATTTCACACACTCACTGTGCGATTCTGTGTGTAGGGAGAGAGAGTTCTGATCGGTTTAGATGGCGGTGAACTCGGTGGCGAACGTCCCGCAGTTACTCTACGCCAACGGGCAGTCACCGAAGATTGTTGCGGGGAGTAAAGACGGCGTGTTTGTTGATTTCTTCGGATTGTACTGTAAATCCAGCAAGCGTGTTCGTCGAAGGATTGGTTATGCGGCAGCTAATAGGAGAAGCTTGATAAACAACAAGTGGAATGCAATTAACGCTGCTCTTGACCTTGAACGTGTTGCCACTAATGCATCTCAGCAGTCCTCTGATATTGTGCCTAAGGTGTGTGTTTGCTGTGGTATACTTTAGCTATCTTGACTTCTTATTAGAGTAGGTACAATAATTAGCTTCAATGGATTTCCTACTTGGCATATTATGTGAAGAAACATGCTTGTTTGATTACTTTGCTGTTCGAAACTTGGGAAGACTTTTGCTTCAACAAAAAAGCAGTCTCTTAACATTAGGCATGTCCCTTTTTTGTACTATGACTAGCATAAGTAGGTCTAGTGTTAATCTCGATGCCCTAAAGTGAAATTGGACACAGTGCTTTCATATGAGGTGGGAAGAGATTTCATATATGGAGCATCTTCTTGGAAAGTTACTGGTTGGAGTCCTTGGAATATGTGGTCTGCTGACTTTCCATGTGCTAAAATGCTTCAGGTTTGTAGGTAGCAAAAGTCCATTGAGTTATTTGGTTGAATTATATAAAGGTGAAATATAATTCACAAAATTAATTAGCAACTGCATGCTTTGTATGACCCTGAGGCCGCTGTTTACTTATCATAAGTATATTGCAACTCTTAACTTTGTAGATATTGGATATACGGATTTATGCCATGTGATATCTGAGGCGCTTGAAGTTTTGCTAATGGTTGAGAGTTAGTTGGTCTTGATCAGCTTCATTGGCTTTTCTTCACGTGTTGTGTCCCATGTTGACTATTGTTTGTCGAATTTGTTCTTGAATGTAGGATTGGCGCATACACCTGCGTACTCTATGAATGAAAATGTGATACTTTTCATGTCGCTTTTTAATCTAATTGTTTTGCTTACTTAAATTATGACATTCAAGTTGAAATGGAGATGTCTTGAAGATAGAGGCATGTTTGATTCCTAAAAAATAGTAAAAGAGAAAATATCAAAGTGGACAAATGCTTTTATGTGATATTTAAGTTATATGTAAATCAAGCTTTTGCCATAACATCTTCTGAAATGCTCTTCTCTTGGGGCTTTACTTTAGCTTCTCTCTCTATGTCCTTGTTCTACTCTGGCAATATAGCGTAGAGATGTATTGCATTGTGGTAACTTCCCCTCTGATCCCCCCCATGTTTTACTAGGCATCTTACTTTGTGCCCCTTTTATTCAAGCCAATTCACTCTGAGAACTCATCAAAAGACTACTGTCCTCTTGCAATATCTTTTTTTTCTTTTGTTTTTCCCGTATATGTTTGCTTTGAAATACTGCTATTGAAATGAGTGACACAAGATACCTAATGGAGTTTGTACCTGTTGTAGAATTCCAAAGCGTTTATTGGGTTTTGTGTAAAATAAATCTAATGGAGGATAGAGTAGCATTTCCATGTCATTTCATGGTTAATTGAATGGAAAGATAGTAAGAGGGGGTAAGTATTGGAGGGAGTTACTTGCCTGATAAAGATGTTGGGCATCACTTATGTTGCTACGAGGCATATTACTGACAATTTTAAATGACAAATCAACGGAAGCCAAAGTAATAACACTGCTTGTTTCTTATGATGCAGCTGTTCATATTGTGCACAATTTTGTTGTGAAGTGATAACTCTGATTTTTTAATGTAAAAGTTACTATGAGTAAATTTGTGAGGTTTGCTTTATGCTCAATTATACATAGTTGGTTATCCACCTGGAAACAATGAAAGCTTCTATAACATCCATATTTGGTTTTGGGGCTCAAAAATCTGAAATGTCACATATGGAACTGTTTCCCTCATCCACTGCGCAGCTATAAGAACTTTTTTCTCTTTTACGTTAAGGATATTTTCAGTAATTATCCTTCTTTATCACTACTGAATGTTGCACGGAGTGATCTTCCCAGGAATAGTACTTTCTTATTTACTTAAAGAAAGTAATGCTCTTGAGCACCATCTCTTTTCAAGGTTTTAGAGCTTGGAGATGGTAGATTCTCGGAGTGTTGCCTTTTTTTTTTGGGTGTAATCTTTTAACTTTTTTCCATAACCCTATGAAAGTACTCCATGTGGCAGGCTTAGATTTCATGGTTTAACTTTTTCAGGTTGCCGACTTGGATGATATAATATCTGAAAGAGGCGCATGTGGGGTTGGTTTTATCGCAAATTTGGACAATAAAGCATCACATGGAATCGTAAAGGATGCTCTTGTAGCTCTTGGCTGCATGGAACATCGTGGAGGTTGTGGAGCTGACAATGATTCTGGTGATGGTTCTGGAGTGATGACTTCAATTCCTTGGGATCTTGTCAACGATTGGGCTGAGAAAGAAGGGATTGCAGTCTTTGACAAGCTTCATACTGGAGTTGGAATGATTTTTCTTCCTAAGGATTGTAATCAGATGAATGAAGCCAAGAAAGGTCAGTCTTTAATATATAACTTTGGAGGATTTGCTAACAGATACTTTCCATTACAGCATAGTTCCCCTATACTCATTACTTGGTTATAGGGAATTTCTTGCCATATCAGTTATCAAAATAGAGTCTCTCTCTCTCTCTCTCTCTCTCTCTCTCTCTCTCTCTCTCTCTCACCCTTGATTAACTTTTTCAGTTTGTGTTTTGCCCTGTAGTGTGGAAAAAGTTGAAATCTCTGCAAGTGATTTTAGACCACATATTAAACTCCCTCACTTTAGATAAACTAAGTTGTTCTTTTTTTCCCCTCCAAAAATTATGTATAATTTTTAAGGAGCCTTCCTTCCCTATGTAGCAGAATCCAGTGCAGCTAAAATAGTTATTCAAGGTAATGTTGGTAATATCATAACAAATTCACAAAGTAAGATGTTAGATATCTAAACGTAAATGGTTAGAGACTGAGGTATATATGTTCCACAGTGGATAAGAATATATACTGTGAAGCATACCTGTAAAAGAATTCAAGTTTAAGGCATTTGTCCTACACATATCAATCTCTTCTCACAAATCTCTTATCTCTCACATGGTATCAAATTCTAGGAAGAAATTGCTCCCCGTCATTAACAGAAACATCTGGGAGAATGAGATATCTTCATATTGTGATTTTTCAACTGTCAAATTTGTTGGGGACGTCGTTGTCTTTGGTGAGTGCCGTGCATAGACTAGCACCATCACAATAACCGGAACACTCATGTAGCAAAACATTAAAAGTCATGTCCCGGTCGGAGCCACCACGTGATGTCGCCACGCTGATCAGAGATCAAAACTTTTAGCGAAATTGTTTAGTGCGTTAACAAGTGATGAAGTTTCTGGTCACTTTCTGCCAAGCTTCTTTCTTCCATGGGAGTCGATTACTCCAATCCTACCCATCCAAGTTTTGACCACCTTCGAATTTCGACTAACCGAACCTAGTTTCCAACAATGTAACAACTCTCCAACAGAGTTTCTCACTAATTTTTCGCTGAATCTCCAATAACCGAGTAGACGACCGATGTAAACAACAACAACTATGGCTCAGTCCGAAACAAAGTTGAGGTATGCGATATGAATCCTCACTTCTTTCTTTATGCTCAAATCATATCATCATCATTATCATGCCAAAGTAAAATAAGTGTAGTAGTGAACATAATTTAAATAATAATAATAATAATAATAATAATAATAATAATAATAATAATAATAATGACATAAAAAGCTCTTTACCAAATTTAAAGCCTATTCCTAACTAGCAAGTATCACCTATATGGATCTTTTTTTCAATTCGCTCTATCTTTAGCCAAGTATGCAATGATTCCAAGGATTTGTAGTGTCTTTTGAGACAACTTCATTCCATGTGATTTTAGGTCTACCTCATCCCTTTTTAACACCTTTATCAATGCATGTGACTAATAATTTCTTGCGATCGAGAACCTAAATTTGCAACTTCCTATCTGTTTTGGATTTCTCTCTTGAGGCCACTTCCAATCATCCTTCTAGCATCTTTAGCCTCGTTACAGACTTGTGACTCACTATATCAATATCTAGTTTTTTTGTAATTTTTTTTTTGCTTAGCTTTGCAATAAACAAAATATTCCATCTACTTTTTCCAGCTATCGTTTTAGGTAATTCTCCGGCAAGCTTAATTCTGTCTCCTGGTTTGTTCTTCGTCAATTCAAACCTTTTATCTCAATCTGTGGCCATTTTGTCAATTATTAGGTAGGTTTTCAAATATTAATTACCTCCGAATTTGAGAATTCTAATCTAGATTTGATATTCTGTACAACATCTGCTTGTACATAGTTTAGAATTTCGATTACAAGAAAATGGGATCTGGTGATTCGAGCAATCAAATGCTTTTGTTGCATGATTGTATAATGGTAAAGAAAGAAGAGATTTGGGAATGCATTGCTTGATTATTCCTTCAAGCATGTTGGGGTTTAAATAGTGTTTACATGTAATCCTAAAAAGAAAAGGAAGTAATTCCAATTTTTAATTACACAATCTAAGGATTCTAAACCTTTACCATATTTTTAAGCAATGCCTTTTGCCATATTAACAATTTCCTAATTCTGAACACTCTTCCTCAAGTTGGAACATACATATTGTATGCTCTTAACTTACCACGAAGCCATGAGTGATTGTTAAGAATATCTGCTAACTGATGGCTCAAACTGACAAATCTTGTCGCAATGCACCCTGGCGTAATCTTTAGCAAATGAAAGACGATCTATCTATATATGCTTTATTCAAAGCAAAGTATATACAACCTGATTATCATAAGTCAACCGCATTAGTGCATCTCCTTCGCACCTTAACTCTTTAAGAAGTTGCTTTAGTCATATAGTCTCACATGTAGACAAAATCAGTGCTTGATATTCTGCATCAGCACCTGATCTAGCTACTGCATCTTGCTTTTTGTTTTTCCAAGATATTAGATCTCCTCCAACTAGAACATAGTACCCTGAAGCGGATTGTCTATCTGAAGTAGATCCTACTTAGTCTGTACCAGGGTATCAAATATTATTTTCTGGTTCCTTATTCTTATACAATAGACCATGTCCGGTTGAACCTTTAATATACCTTAGAATGCAAATCACCGCATTCTAATGGCTGTAACAAGGAGCTTGGGGAGGTAGCTGATCGTGGAGGAGGTTGGTGGTTAGTGGTGGTGGTTGAGCAATAAAGGCTAGTGTAGATGTGGTTGCTAGTGGTGGCAGGTTGTGGAGGTGGAGGTAGTTGTTTGCGGTGGTAATATATAAAATAGTGGTAAAGATTACATGCACGAGAATCTTTAAGTTAACATCTTAGTGATTTTAAGACTCTATATAAGATTTGACAGATTCAGACCTATTAAGAGTTATTTAGTGATTTTGTGAAAAAAATGCATTTATAGAGTGAGATTTGAATGATTCAGATTTAGATCTTCATAGAGTGGGAAAAAAATGGGGCCTTAAGTGTCCCTAAGAGAGGTTTCGAAAGATATCAGAGATTGCCTGAGAAGTTGAACTAAAGTTGAACTATCTAACAATGATTTGTTGATTCTCTACGAGGCACTCGTTGCCATACAATGGTTTGTGTCTTTGATACACTGGGTTTGCTTTATGAAAAGGATTACTATACAAAGACTAGTGAACAGTAACCATATGTAGATCTTCTGTCATCTACAGAGCCATCCCAATCCGCATAAGTAAAGACTCCTGTCTAGAGATGGCCATGTTTGGAGAAAAGCAGAACTTTCCCTAGAGCAGGCAGATTTCAGATATCACAAAATGTGAAAGACAACTTGCATATGATGATCTCGTGGATCATGCATGAACTAATTTATCAAGCTGATTGAATAGGCTATATCTGGTTTAGTGTGAGAGCGATAATGAGCTTTCCAACCAACTTCTGATATCTCTCCTTTTGGACTGACTCTCCAACTCCTGCTTGTAACTTGTGATTACTTTTAATGGGCTAGTCTGCTGGTTTGCAACCTTTCATACCAGTTTCTTTCAAGAGATTCGGAATATACTTCATTTGAGAAATATAGATTCCTCTTTTTGATCTAGCAACCTCAATTCCCAACTCCCAAGAAGTACTGCAATATTCCTAGGTCCTTGAATTCATATGCTAAGAACTTCTTCAATAAGGTCATCTTCTCTTTGTCATCTCTTGCAATTACTATGTCATCAATATAAACTAGGAGAAGAGTGGCTTTTGATGTCTTATGAAGAAGGTGTGATTAACATTGCTTTGTTGGTAAGAGAAGGAGATCATGGCTTTGCTGAATCTGCCAAACCATGCTCTAAGGGATTGCTTTAATCCGTACAAGGCTTTCTTCGGTCTACACACCTTTTCTTGACTTTGTTCGGTGTCAAATCCAGGAGGAATCTCCATGTACTCCTCTTCTTCTAGGTCTCCATGAAGAAATGCATTCTTCACCTCAAATTGTTGCAAGTCCCAATCAAAATTAGCTGCACAGGATAAAAGATTCTAATAGTGTTATTTTAGCAATAGAGGCAAATGTCTTTTGATAATCCACTCCATAAGTCTGAGTGAATCCCTTAGTCACAAATCTTGCTTTGTATCTTTCAATCGAACCGTCAGCTTTGTGTTTCATAGTGAAGACTCATTTGCAACCAACCAACTTCTTGTCTAGTTAGTGAAATGGCAAGTTCCCAAGTCTCATTCCTTGACAAGACCTTCCTTTCTTCAGTTATAGCTTGTTTTTGTTTCGGATCTGCAAAAACTTTTCTTCAATTCTGGGAATAGACACAAAAGAAATAGACAAGGCAAATGTTCTATATGAGGGAAACAAAGAATTATAGGGGATAAAATTAGATAAAGGTGTTTGGTGCAGGATGCCAAGATCTGACTCTTTCAATAGGTGAATATAACTCATTAGGAAATGTAGATAACTCACCAGTAGAAGAGGATTGAGCATCAATAGATTGCATGATGATTTCTTCTGGTCTTTTCTCCTTGAGTAAGTTTCCAGATTAGGTCTATCCAACAACCTAGTAATCTCCTCCTAAATTCTTTCTCTATTTCACTTTCCCTAGTGGTAGTGGTTGTGGTTTCCACAGTTTCAACAGTGCAACTTGGGAGAATCATCTCTTCCTCCTTATTGCTCTCCCTTCGAAGGGGTGATAGTGTAATACTGAAATATGGCTGAAATTTTTGAAAGGTAACATTTATGCTAGCCAAAGATCTCTAGAGGGAGGATGATAACATTTATACCCTTCATCTGTTGGAGAATACCCAAAAAAGACACATTTAAGAGCTCTAAAATCAAGCTTTACAGAATTCCTAGTGTGAATCAAGCGGATACACCCAAACACCTTTGGATGAACAATATAATTATTTTTACCCTTTAAAGCTTACAGAGGACTCTGAAAATTGAGAGTTTTAAGTGGCATTCGATTGATGAGATAGGCAGCTACTAGAATGGTATCTCCAGTAAAGTTTTGGTAGATTCATAATCATAATAAATAAAAGAGATCCTCAACAACCCCATTTTGTGCACTAGTGTAAGCAACTGATTTTATGGATTATCCTATAAGACTCCAAATAAGCACCAAATCTTTTATCCTTGCCATCGTTAGTTTGTAAGATTTTTTATCTTACCTCAAATTGAGTACAAATCATCGTATGAAATGACCGAAAGCAAGAGAAAACTTCACTTTTAGCCTTTAACAAATATATTAGAGTATTTACTACTCCCTCCGTTTCATATTGAATGAGGTACTTTCCTTTTTAGTCTGTTCCAAAATAAATGACACATTTCTAAATTTGGTAATCCTTTACTTTTGAGATACCAATATTACCCTTACCATTCCTCCTTCAAAAATCTGACACGGACCACTGAATTTAAGAGTAAACGGTTTGTGATAGTAACTTTATTAGGTTAGGTTGACAAGTCAAATGTTTAAAAAGTGAAGCCACTACATGTCAGATCTTTTCCATGCTTGTTGGCATGTGGCTTCTTCTATTTTGGTTCTTTCATATTTTTTGCTGCAGTTACAATTATTTTCGTGTAAATTGGAATATTGCGAGCCTATGTAACTTACTTATGTGCTTCACTTTTTGTCCCAAATTACCAATAAAGTCACATTAATTGAAGTTATAAAGTGACATTATTTGACACCAGTCACTAGATAACGACCACAAATACTGCCGTGATTCAAGACTTATGGTGATGAACAACACCATTAAATTTTCAAAAATCCGCAACTGCTTATAAATTGGATTTTAGTCTAAACCATCACGATCATAGAAGTTCTATAGAAGTCCAATCTTCTCTCCAACAAAATCATTTTAGCATGTCAAGAGAAAGAAAAGCACTAATGAAATTTTATACTCCTATTTCTTGTTAAGTCTTCAAAAAGTTGAAGGTACCAACAAGTAGTAATTTCAATAAGGAATTCGTCATCCTTACACCATACCAAAGTGCAGGTTAACCATATTTCCAAAGTAGAGGTTACAAAGTCTTTACAGAAATAGAGATTACACAAAAACTACATGATACCCAATGCTACAAAACAAAGACGAACTTTACAAAAATAAGTTGCAGATAACCTTGATCTATTACTCTAGCTTAAAGTAGAGCTAGAGCTTCATTAACAATACCAATGTCGCAACAAACTTGAGTAGGAAGAGTTCTCTGTCGTTCTAGCATGTCCTTTTTCATATGTGGCACTTTGTAGTTGTTTCCACCTTTATCTTTCATCACTTCAACCATGCAAGATTGTAGAGTCAGAAAGACATGATTCAGTCGTTCAACTTTCATGTCATTAAACGATTTCTCAACTGCATTTACTAACTCGTCAATAGTTTTTGGAGCCATTTGATGTTGAAGAGACTGAATAGCTCTGAAGAATCCGAGGTCCAAAACATTTAAATCTGGACTGTTAGGAGGTTGAAAGCAAAGCCTAATATCGAATCCATCTTGCCGAGCAGCTTCGGTAAATTGCAAGTCATTAACACTAAGGTGAGGTCTCGCATTATCTTGTTGGATAAAAATAGGAGCATTTGACTGCGAAAGTGGCCATTTTGATCGAATCGCTGGAAGAACTTTTTCAATTAAACAAGTCCTAGTGACATCTTTAGTGACTGATAAAATAGGCTTTGTTTCTAAAGTTCCAGCTACTCTGTTTTTGCTATTCCTTTTGGTAGGTTCCTTGAACACAAAAGGAAATATTCCTATTTTTCCTGAAAATAACTCAGTTCCATCTTCAGCAAGCCTAGGGCGCGCAACAGCAGCCATAAACATAACTTTTGTTATGAAATTTTTACTTTTACAAGATCTATATGGGTTTGGCTCTTGTTCTTCGGGGAGAAGATAGAACTTTTCAGATTTTTTCGACAAAAAGAACCATTTTTCATCTATATGAACATAATTAAACATGTCTGAAAATATAGGATTTGAATTTAGCGTACTAGACTCAATCATTGATAGACAAAATTGAAGTCTTGCCTTCTTATTTTCCTCTGTCAAATGAGGCTTTATGGCATTGGTATGTGACCTTATAGCCCCTTCTTTGATGCGTCGAAAAATAGTTGACGTTGACATATCCATAGCACATGCCAAAGATCGAATATTTGTTTGTCGACAAAGAGGAATTTCTTTTACCATATTAATATCGACATGAATTCGTTTTCTCCCAACTCTGCCTACAAGATGCGGAGACACATTTAATGGAGCACCGTTAGCGACACTTAATTTTGTATGTTGCCAAATTCTTTCCACAGTACTCCTTGGAGTATTAAATAAAATCACAGCTTGCTTTAAAGACCCATGTTTAACAACTCCATTTTTCCTTTCCTTCAAAAGCCATTCGGCAACAGCATGACGCTCCTCACTTTTTAGTCGTCTTTGTCTAATAATTGAGTCTAATTGCGAGTCACTCATTTGTGTATAATTAATCGCATATGCTAGATAAAATATGATTAAAGGAAATAATCAGAATGTAAGAGAAAATTAGAAACACCAGAAGATAAAACAGAATTATGAAGAGAAACAGTGAAAGCATAAGTGAATAATCTCAAATATCTCTACATAAATAGACAAGCTTTTCACCAAATTAAAAAAGAGAAATTTTTGGCGCCACAAGAATGAAAGAGACAACTTTTTTGGCGCCACAAGAATTGAAGAAATTTCACATACGTAAGAAATTTGACGCACTGGACCTTTGATCTTAGAGTAGCCATTGAAGGAAATTTTTTTTGACTTAGTTAATGTGGCAGAGAAGATGTGACATGTGGGCCACATTTGACTTAGTATCTACTTTATCATGATTTTCATCAAAAAGCTAGCATGTGGGCCCTTAAGGGTAAAATTGGTACTTAAGGTGATTTGGCAATAGTCTACTCCTGTTTATTAAATTCCGTGCCGAGTCAAACTACCTCAAACAATATGAAACCGAAGGAGTATTAGCTAACCCAAATAGGCTCTAAGTTCTAAGTTGGAACAACTTGGTGTCTTGGAAGAGCAGAAACAAAGTGGGATTGCAAGATCTGTTACGAACAGCCGCAACTTGTGAAAACTCGGATTTTTTTTTTTTGGGGGGGGGGGGGGAGGAGAGGTGGAGGAATATCTTGTTGCGTACCGATTGTATATGGATATTTCCTATTTACTTACGAGAGAATGAAAATGTGAAAATCCCTAGATGGGTTAGAATGCAAAAAACACGATAATAACAACAAATATACCTTAATGCTAAACTAGTTAGAATGTGCTATATGAATATCTAGTTGTGTACCGCTTGTATATGAATCCTTAATATCTGTGTTGCGTACCGATTGTATAGGGATATTTCCTATTTACTTACGAGAGAATGAAATGTGAAAATCCCTAGATGGGTTAGAATGCAAAAAACACGATAATAACAACAAATATACCTTAATGCTAAACTTGTTAGAATGTGCTATATGAATATCTAGTTGTGTACCGCTTGTATATGAATCCTTAATATCTGTGTTGTTACATTTCCACTATTCAATTGTTTGTTTTCTTAAGATAATTTAAGGGTTTTCTACCTTTAAAGGTCCTTAAATTCTAAATCAATTTTATTGCATGTGTAACAAATTGACATAATATGCAATACAAAAAACCAGAGATTCTCTATATGAATACGAAAAACCCAAATAAACTATGAAATTAAAAATCCCAACTGCTCTGTGTTGAATGAAATTCCAACAAAATCTATTTTGAGCTTATCTGTCAAAAGTTGGGGCTTACTGCTCTCAAGTTATTTCAAATACTCATGTGTTTGCGGTATCTCATGACTGCACAAGTTTTACCATTGAGACTTTTTGGTTCTAAAAAATGTATATTATTCTGGTAGTTGCCTATAAGCTTTTCTTCATCTATTACTTTATACTTGTTTTTACCTCTAATTGCATCCTCGCATGAAGGGTTAATGAGCATTATTGTGTTGTTTCTAATTTTTTTTTTTTTTTGAATATTGCTGTAGTTATTTCCAATATCTTTAACAACGAGGGTCTTGAGGTGCTTGGATGGAGGCCGGTTCCTGTAGATTCTTCTGTAGTTGGATATAATGCAAAAGAAACTATGCCCAACATACAGCAGGTTTTTGTTCGAATTGTTAAAGAGGAAAATGTTGATGACATCGAAAGAGAACTCTATATCTGTCGAAAACTCATTGAGAGAGCTGTGAACTCAGAGATTTGGGGAAATGAACTTTATTTTTGTTCGTTGTCCAATCAAACTATAGTTTACAAGGGAATGCTTCGTTCTGAAGTCCTTGGGAGGTTTTATTATGACTTACAAAGTGAGCTGTATACATCGCCTTTCGCTATTTACCATCGTAGATTCAGTACAAACACCAGTCCCAGGTGGCCTCTTGCTCAACCAATGAGGTTTCTAGGTCATAATGGAGAGATCAACACTATTCAGGTAATTATAGATGTCAGTAACAGTTTCTTTGGGTTGCTGACTACGTGTATGGTGTCTGTTGTTTTTACATCCACAACCATCTGCAGGGAAACTTGAATTGGATGCAATCCAGAGAGGCCTCAATGAAATCAACTGTTTGGCGTGACCGTGAGAATGAAATCCGTCCTTTTGGCAACCCGAAGGCGTCTGATTCTGCAAATTTAGATAGTGCTGCTGAAGTATGGATCACTGCATCTTTTAGTTATCTAGTTTTAGTAATTGTTGAGGGCATAATACCATTCTTTTCTCAGCACTAGGAACTGTTTGGCCTTTAATGTCTATTAAGATGAGTTTCTTAGGAAAAAAAAATCTTACTGTTTTTCGGTTGCTGGTACTTGTGTTAAGTTTAAATTGCTTCAGGGTGAGTTTTATCATAATGCTTCCAACATCTTATTCTGCTTATCATTTTTCCTCGCAGATGTATAACTTTTTTCATGTAGACTTTTAAACATGAACTGTTTGTTGTTACTCCTTTTCCTTACTGCTTTACATCACTCTTCTGTAGATATAATGATGGATTTTCACCATCTAACCTTTTTTTTGGGATTATCCAGTTACTCATAAGAAGTGGACGAGCTCCTGAGGAAGCACTAATGATTCTTGTCCCAGAAGCTTATCAAAATCATCCAACATTGACTATTAAATATCCGGAGGTATTCCATGTTGGCATTTTGTCTGATTTAGATTTTCATCAGCCTCTGTACTTTACATGTTAACACAGTTTTGAAATTCGTACTGAGATAATTTCTCTTTGTCGCTTTCCCAAAATTTTACTTATGTTGACCTCTCCTTTAAACCTTGATATTTTTACCTTCTGATTGTACTCCATCTGTCCCAATTTATGTCACACACTTTCCTTTCTAGCCAGTCTCAGTCCCAAAAAGAATGACACATTTCTATATTAGTAACAATTTAAATCTAAACTTCCCATTTTACCATTCATATGATGATGTACAGCCACACAAATTTCTATGGCTTGTTTTAGACCACAAGTTTCAAAGGTTTTTCTTTCATTCTTAAACTCGTGCCCAGTCAAACACCTCACATAAATTGGAACGGAGGGAGTAACTAATATTTGTAATGCTCGAGATGATTATTAGATTGTTATCTTTAAAGTTCACTTTTTCATGACAATATTTCGATCGTTTTTAGGTTCTTGATTTTTATAATTACTACAAGGGTCAGATGGAAGCTTGGGATGGGCCAGCCTTACTCTTGTTCAGGTGTCTTCTGAATGCCTGTTATATTTCAACTTGTTTGGGTTCTAGTTGTAGTGCTGTAATATTATCTCATAGGAGTTGTGTACATAACTATTGAAATGTACTTTATTAAATCTTTAATAAAAACTAAATTAAGTTTCACGAGGTTGGCCTAGTGGTTAAGGTATGGCAGTAATCACCTGGAGATCCCACGTTCAAATTCTTGCTGGAATGCTTGGTCTGAGCCTAACTCCGCTAGCCTTTGGTGGGCTGGATTACCTTAACAATCTGTGTTTGCCGGCTGGATAGATTGCAGTGTTGCGCAGTAGATTAGTTGAGGTACATGCAAACTGGTCCAAACATAGCGCTATAAAGAAAAGGGAGAAAAACTTAGTGTGAACTCTCTTATCCATTTGGTGTATATGGACAGAGAAGTAGCAGATGTTTCAATGGTATCTCAACTTCAAGCTGCTCCTTGAAGGCTAGATGTTTGGTTAATTCCTTTAGCTGGGGTAACCTTTCCCGTTTAAATAGCATTGATCATTGTTTGGAGTTAGTCAGTTCCCTAGTCTATAGTACTCTCCTTTTTGAATTCAAGCTGACATACTCTCTTTTGTAGCCTCTGCATCTGCTTGATGCTCTTTAATGAAATTTACTTCGTAAAAAAAAGTGAGAGCTGATGGTTTGAGGAATAGAATGGTCTCTTCAGACATAAGGAAAAAACAAGAGAGAGAACGAGAGAATGCGTGAAGACGAACGTCTTACACCTGATTCCTTTTATCCTTACATTTATCAATATACACAATTACATTTCTCAAAGTGTCAGTCATATACACTTCTGTAATTACTCAAACTATAACGGCTAGTTTTTTAAGGTCTCCCTTTCACAAAGAAAACTGGAGTTCATTTCCTAGATATTTTTTGAAGTCAAGAATGGTCTTTAGTAGGATGGAAAGTCTTTCTGTTTTCCTGCGTCGTCTTTGATCTTTTGTGTCAAACACTTTTATGTGGCTGAGATCTACTTGATTTGAATAGATGTGAGGGATCACCATTCCTTATCTGCATAGAATCTGGGCTTCCTCTTGTTACCCAGTCTGTTAATGTAGATCTCATGCATTAGATATGAAATGATTGCTGATATCACCATTGTTTGCTTCAATATATTAAGCCTTCTCATCCCTCTTAGTGTTTTGATCTTCAATGATTTCTGCTTATTTTTTATTTGGGTCTGTCCATATAGAAAGTGGAAAGATGCTCTGTTTGATGATATATTAATCTCCTTGAAAGCGTATCTTCAATTATATGTAAGGAACTGAATTATCCCCTAGAAAAGAAAAAGAGATGTAAGGTAACTGTGATTGAGGCATAGTTATTGTTGTTGCATTAAGGAACTTTGATATGTAGTTGTTGGAACTTGGATGTGGTTGTGGAATGAAGAAACTAAGACTGCTTTTGATACTTCCAAGGATCATAACATTATGAAACTGTTATCTCGATTATTTACTGTTTGTGTCTTGCTTTTTTTTTTTCCTTGTTCCATATTTACAGCGATGGGAAAACAATTGGAGCTTGTCTCGATCGTAATGGACTTCGCCCTGCTAGATATTGGCGGACCAAAGACAACGTTGTTTATGTTGCGTCTGAGGTGTGTAAGTTTTGTTCATTTTTCAGAAGCCTAATTCTGATTTCAAATGTTGCAGAAGCCATAAACTATGGCTCGTCTCCAAATTATGTTTCTCCTAGCTCTTTCTAAAATTAATCAAGCTGACAATATTACTTTTTTCCTATTTGTGTTCTTAAAGAATAATCGATTTATTAATAATGACGTTGCATTTGTTGTCCTTACAACTGGATAATAATTACAGTGATTGGAAGGGTTTCTTCTTTTGGTTAGGTTGGTGTGCTACCCATGGATGAATCAAAAGTTACAATGAAAGGACGTTTAGGTCCTGGTATGATGATAAGTGTTGATCTTTCAAGTGGTCAGGTTTGTTTTAATATTTTAATCGCATGGCATTTCTATGCACTTTAATTGCGCATGGATACTCATGAATTTGCTTAGTTGTTGCTATTAGTACTACTACTATTATTATTATTATTACTATTATTATTATTATTATTATTATTATTATTATTATTATTATTATAGTTTAATATTTTAATCGCATGGCATTTCAATGCACTTTAATTGCGCATGGATACTCATGAATTTGCTTAATTGTTGCTATTAGTACTACTACTATTATTATTACTCCCTCCATCCGAGTTTATGTGACACATTTTCGGATTTCAAGAGTCAAACTTTTTAATTTTTACCGCAAATTCAGACAGAATCTTTAAGGTTTTTGAAATAAAATATACATATTTGAAAACTACATAAAAAGTACTATGTCACAATAATTAACAACTTTTTATTACAATAATTAACAATTCAAATATTTAAAACGCATATGAAAAATTCGCGGTCAAACAAGCACTCATTTGACTCTCGAAATTCGAACTACATCACATAAATTGGGATAGAGGGATATTATAATTATTGTTATTATTATTATTATTATTATTATTATAATTATTATTATTGTTATTATTAGGATCAATGATTATGATTATGAAGTAATATATGTTCATATCCTTCATCAGCCTATCATTCACTTCCAAGTCCCAAGGCTCTTTATGTCCATAACTTGTTTGTTCTAATTCCGTTGTTGATTAACATAGGTATTTGAGAATACAGAAGTCAAAAAGCGAGTTGCATTGTCAAATCCATATGGGGAGTGGGTTAAAGAAAATTTGCGATCTTTGAAGCCTGTGAACTTTCTTTCGACAACAGTAATGGACAGTGAAATAATACTAAGACGCCAACAGTAAGACTTTGGCACTTCACTTTGTATATAAGGCTTTTTACTTTTATAGTTCAGGTACTTCAGATGGATTCATTCTCTTTGACAATTGATATTTGATATGTGATTGTGTCCTTTGCGCCTAGTGCTAGTCAAGACCTAGCAAGATGCTAATGGTGATTATATTTATCATGGATAATTTGCATGTCTCCTAAAGTTTCTATCTGCTCATTTGTAGTTACGCTCTCTTTAATTAGTAAGATCTCTTTTAGGATTTGCTTCAAATAACATTTGTGAGAAAGCACAGGAGAAATTATATTATTGATGTATTAACATATGTTACAATGAGCCCTATATATATACACACATAACATGTCCTACTCCTAATATATATTGGATTAGGGTTATTTATTTACTCCTATTTACATGACTATTCCCCTCAAGCTGGTGCATATAAATCATATGTACCGAGCTTGTTACATATGTAGTTAATACGAGGACCAGTGAGGGACTTGGTGAAAATATCTGCAAGCTGATCATTCGACTTCACAAACTTTGTAGCAATATCTCCCGAGAGTATCTTTTCTCTAACAAAGTGACAGTCAATCTCAATGTGTTTAGTTCTCTCATGGAACACTGGATTTGACGCAATATGAAGAGCAGCTTGATTATCACACACAAGTCCCATCTGACTAATCTCACCAAATTTCAACTCCTTGAGCAACTGTTTGATCCAAATTAGCTCACATGTCGCCATAGCCATCGCTCGATATTCTGCTTCTGCACTAGACCGAGCAACCACATTCTGTTTCTTGCTCTTCCAGGACACCAAATTTCCTCCTACCAAGACACAATATCCAGACGTAGAACGTCTATCAGAAGGTGATCCTGCCCAATCAGCATCTGAGTATCCAACGATCTGCTCATGGCCTCGACCCTCAAACAATAAACCTTTGCCTGGAGCTGATTTTATATACCGAAGAATGCGAACAACTGCATCCCAATGACTATCACACGGAGAATCCATAAACTGACTCACAACACTCACAGAAAAGGAAATGTCAGGTCTTGTCACTGTAAGGTAATTTAATTTACCAACCAACCGTCTATATCTTGCAGGATCGCTAAGAGGCTCCCCCTGTCCTGGCATAAGTTTAGAATTCGGATCCATCGGAGTGTCAACCGGTCTACAACCTGTCATTCCTGTCTCTTCAAGAATATCTAAGGCATACTTTCGTTGTGAGATCACAACACCTGAGCTAGACTGAGCGACCTCAATACCCAGAAAATACTTTAGTTTGCCCAGATCCTTAGTCTGAAAGTGTTGCAAGAGATGTTGCTTCAATTTAGTAATACCATCCTGGTCATTGCCGGTAATAACAATGTCGTCAACATAGACCACCAGATAAATACAGAGACTCGAGGCAGAATGCCGATAGAATACAGAGTGATCAGCTTCACTCTGAATCATGCCAAATTCTCGAATAACTGTGCTGAACTTACCAAACCAGGCTCGAGGAGACTGCTTTAGACCATAAAGTGACCGACGCAAGCGACATACAAGGCCACGAGACTCCCCTGAGCAACAAACCCATGCTCCATATAAACTTCATCCTCAAGGTCACCGTGTAAAAAAGCATTCTTAATGTCCAGCTGATAGAGGGGCCAATGGCGAACAACAGCCATGGATAGAAAAAGGCGGACTGATGCTATCTTAGCCACAGGAGAGAAGGTATCACTGTAATCGAGCCCAAATATCTGAGTATATCCTTTGGCAACAAGACGAGCCTTAAGACGATCAACCTTACCATCCGGACCAACCTTGACTGCATACACCCAACGACAACCAACAGTAGATTTACCTGAAGGAAGAGGGACGAGCTCCCAAGTACCACTCGTATGTAAAGCAGACATCTCGTCAATCATAGCCTGTCGCCATCCTGGATGAGACAATGCTTCACCTGTAGACTTAGGGATGGAAACAGAGGACAAAGAAGATAGAAAAGCATAATAGGGTGATGACAAACGATGATAACTCAAACCGACATAATGGGGATTAGGATTAAGGGTGGCCCGTATACCTTTCAGAAGTGCAATCGGTTGATTAAGAGGAGACAAGTCTGCAGTATTAGCAGGGTCAGGTGCAGGACGTGAATCAGCTGGATCTGATGCTGGGCGCGGACGACGATGATATGTCAAAAGTGGTGTTCCTGTGGCAGGGAGTCTAGGAGGAGCCACACTAGACTCCTCAACGGTTGGAATGGATAAGACTTCTATAGCGGAAGGTGAAGGAGGAGCTATAGGAGACTCGGGTAAGACTTCTGTGGCGGAAGGTGAAGGAGGAGCTATAGTAGACTCCTTAAAGGTCGGGATAGGTAAGACCTCAGATATATCAAGGGGGTCAGAAAGGTCAGAAGAGGTAAAGAAAGGTTTAGACTCAAAAAATGTGACGTCAGAGGACTTAAAGTACCTACGAAGATCAAGTGAGTAACAACGATATCCCTTCTGAACACGAGAATAACCAAGGAAGACACACTTGAGAGCACGAGGAGCTAACTTATCTTTCCCAGGGGCTAGGTTATGAACGAAACAAGTGCTCCCAAAAACACGAGGGGGAACAGAGTATACGGGTGATTGGGGAAACAATACTGCATACGGTATCTGATTCTGGATGGGAGAGGAAGGCATTCGATTAACTAAATAACAAGCTGTGAGAACTGCATCGCCCCAAAAACGCAGCGGAACATGAGATTCAATGAGAAGTGTGCGAGCAGTCTCAATGATGTGCCTATTCTTTCTCTCTGCAACCCCATTTTGCTGAGGGGTATAAGGACAAGAGGTCTGATGAATAATTCCTTGAGAAGTCATAAACTGCTGAAATTGAGAGGATAAATATTCTAAGGCATTATCACTGCGAAAAGTGCGAATGGAAACACCAAACTGATTTTTAATTTCAGCACAAAAATTCTGGAATATAGAAAACAACTCAGAACGATCTTTCATTAAGAAAATCCAAGTACATCTTGAATGATCATCAATAAAACTAACAAAATGTGATGACCCGACCCGTCGTCTCATGAGTTACTACCCTGTTCTTCCCATTTTCTGAATTCTTATGTTTCATTATCGGTATTGGGTGCGTTAGAATTGATTTGGAATGATTTTGATAAGAAATGAGACACTTCGTCTCTTTTAAGAAGGCTTAAGTTGGAAAAGTCAACCGGATGTTGACTTGTGAGTTAGAAGGCTCGGAATTGAATTCCGATGATTCGGTTAGCTCCGGGTGATGATTTAAGGCTTCAGAGCGCAATTGGGAGTAATTTTGGAGGTCCGGTGAAGAAGTTAGCCAATTTTGGCGAAGGTAGTATTTTGGCGATTTCCGGTTGATAGGTGAAATTTTGATCCGGGAGTCGGAATGGAATTCCGAGAGTTGCTATAGCTTCGTTATGTCATTTTGGACTTGTGTGCAAAAATTGAAGTCAATCGGACGTGATTTGATAGGTTTCGGCATCGGAAATAGAAGTTGGAAGTTCTAAAGTTCATAAAGCTTGGATTGGAGGTTGATTCATGATTTTAACGTTGTTTGATGTGATTTGAGGCCTCGAGCAAGTCCGTAATATATTATGGGACTTGTTAGTATACTTTGTTGGGATCCCATGAGGCTCGGATAAATTTTTGGAAGAGTTTTTGAAAGATTTTT